GGGGGCAGTATTCACATCAACCACAGCTGAATATAAAAAGACCTATCAGCATCCAGATTAAGTTCCCATGGTCCAGATTTTTTTGCAGTAGTTGATGATTTTACAGTACATGAGTTTACATTTACCCAGTAATTATAATTCATGAAGTGTCATTTTACCTCCAACACTGCTGCTTTCAACACAGGAGCTGCTTTTAACAGAGCAGCTGCTCTCAACACAGCAGCTATTCTCTACACAGCAGCTGCTCTCTACACGTGTGACTGATCTGCATAAGTACATTATGGTGCCAACCCTGTCACACACACCTGTGTCTGTACGGGGTGTATGTGATGGGGTTGGCATGATGATGTCACCACTCTGAGTACTCATGTGTGGGCGTATCTGCATGTGGGCAGACCCACCTGGAGACCGACAGAGGAGCGTGTCTCAGTTCCTAAGACCATCGGAAATACGTGAAAGGGTCGTTCGACCCCTGCAGAGGGGTCAAGACCCACAGGCTGAGAACCGCGGTGTTAGCGAATCCTTTAAGCTCCCATCTGCTTGCTGCTAAGCCAATTCCAAGGCAAACCCAGTCTTGGCCCAAGTTTCCGATGCCAAGGAAGAGGCACTGGGAGAGGGAGCCCTGGAGGAAGGCTTTCTTCCCGGGAAAGGAGGTGGGGGCAGGAGGGCAGGCAAGCATGCAGACGCCCGCCAGCCCAGAGGAGTCCTGGCAGCATTCTCTCCCCTGGGTCTTCCCGGTCCTTCCTGCGGAATCTCCTCTGGTTCTCTGGAGGCTCTGGGGTCAGCTTCCCGGGGCACGCATCCTCAAGGCCCCAGAACCTTGCATGGGAACTGGGGCATCGCAGTCTCCCCTAGAATGGGAGGCCTGGCTCAGAGTCAAAGAAACAAATGGGGAGGACGTCAATGTCTGAAGAGCCGGAGTGGTCTGAGCCAGTGCAGGCCAGGCAGAGCGCTGCCTCCTCTTGGGGCGTCTCCTTCCCTTCACTGCCCTGTCTAACACTGACAACCTCTGACCACCTGCTCTTTGCCAGGCTGTCTCCCCATTCAACGTTTCACCCCCCTGCAGCCTGCCGCCTGCCCACCTGAGCTCGGCGGGGCACCGTGACCCCGGCTCTCACATCTGGGGGGCACTCTTCACAGGGCGTTCTTCAGGTCTCACTCGGGCTCTGACTGTGATGACCGCCCCTTACCAACCATGGTGCCAGGAGCAGAGGGACACTGGGCTCGAACATGGCTCGGTGACCTTAGATTAAACACTTTCTCTGAGCTCTAGTTCCTGCGTCTTTAAAAATGAAGCTAGGGGAGTCCTGCTGTGCAGGGTTGTTATTAAGATGAGGGATCTCTCTCAGTGCCATGGACGCCCTATCGCGCAGGGTAGAAGAACTGCTTCCATGAGTTTCAGAGATTGCCACTCTTTATGGGAGTAGAAAACCTCCTCTTTCTCCAGAGGAGTGGCTGGTGGTTTCGAACTGCTGACCTTGTGGTTAGCAGCCCAACTTGTAACCACCGAGTAAGTAAACAGGAACAAAGACAACGGAGAGTAACTGAACAGCAAATCAAGGCGGAGCTACGCATATACTTAGGTCCCGCAACTCTATTCCAAGATAGACAGCAGTGAAAACTTCACATAGGAGTTCACGGAGACTTAGACAATACCTGTGGCACACGGAAGACCACAGAGCTATGGGTCCCATATAGAGAAATCTAAAAAGTGTCAGGTTTAGTGAAATGTCAATTTGTAAAAGATTATATACATGTATCTGTGTACACACATACAGACTTACATATCTGATG